CCTCGCCAAGACACACACAAATGAAACCGCTCGCCCCCTTTCTTTTTTCCTTTCTTTCCTCGCTGAAGACGTCCTCTTCCTCCGTTGCCATTGGTTACATACAGTAGCAGTTCTACACCTAACATCAATAACCTCCAAAAACAACCGGATCAGAACTGAGACCCAAACTCTCCATACCATGGAGCACTTTTTCTAAGAAAAGAAGAAGAAAGACAAACAGGGGTTTTATCAGGATGTTTGGAGCCATGATGTTTGTTTTTAGCGCTGATGGATGACCTTATAATTTGTTAGGAGTGCAGTTGTTGTTGTTGTTTGCGGTGGCTTGTCTCTTTATCACAGCCACTCTCATCATCCTGCATGGCCGTAATTTCCTCCCTTTCCAGCATCACCACATAATTTATCTGCTCATTCTGGGTGTGTGAGAGAAAGCGGAGGGAGAGGAGGGGGAGATATGTAGATAGCAGAGAGAGAAAGATGTGGGGGGGGGGTAAGATGATGATAGCAGTGTGTGATGATGTGGGAAGTGAGGGGTGGAGGGGAGGCAGGAGGGGAGTCGGTTGCCCATGGATACGACCCCGATATAATTTGATTTGTGGCAGAGCAGGAAGCAGTGAGTGAGCGAGCGCGAAAGGAGGGAGCGAGAGGGCGGTGGGGGGAGGAGGGGAGGGAGGATGTGGGAAAAAAGTGAGAGAGAACAGGGGAAGAGAAAATGAGGGTGAGAAAATATGAGGTGGTGGAGGAAGAGAGAGACAGGAGGGATGAGAGAGGCTTAAACATGTCAGGTGCCGAAGCACAAAGGAGCAAGCGATGCGAGACATGGAGAGAAGACGATGGAGAGACTGACGATGTCACATGGCTGTTGGTTTTGCTTTCATCCCTGATGTCTCTCTTATCTCAACCTCTCTATCATTTCCTCTTTCTTTCCTTATTAAATTCATTTCAATTACATTCAGACAGTGAAATATACAGTGTATCAGTGCAGGTAAATCCCAGAATGTCTATTGATTTACAGACAGTATTATTATAGCACAGTATAATTACCATAAACAAGAAAGATCTTAAAGACTTTCAGTGTTTGTTTGCCTCTAAACCATACTTTAGGCAAAATCTGCTGCTTGCTGACAGCAAAATGAAAGAAATTTAATTGTTACATTGACTTGAGGTGGAGCATTGCAAGTATTAAAGTACTGGCACTTTAATACCTGCATGTTATTTACAGTTTGGGAGACTGCGGGATTTACTCCTCTGCATTTCAGAGGAAAGTATGCCACAAGATAAGCTGATACAACATTATAAATTGTTGTTGAAACTTCACAGTGAGCTGCAGTACCACAGCTCCCAACCAACCATGTACTTACATCTTTAGGGACCAATGGGCTGAGAGCTTAGAGCCACAAACAGAGAGTGAAGTCAGGAAACGCTGAGATGCAACCTAACTCATTGATGTTAGTCCTTGCATTGGACACCCAGCTGACATAGATGATCATCCTTTTGGAGCAGTGGTTGGTTCACCTGGAAAAATGTACAAAATGTCCAGTATTCATGCCCTGGTTTGGCCACTTTCTTCACTAGCTAGTCTCTAACTGTGTCTCTGTGCTGTTTAGTGCTGAGTAGGTCGTGTTTAATGGGTTTCTGAGCTTGTTTAATGAAATTGACTGTGATCAGGAGATTTTATCCAGCAGGAAGCATGCATGACTGAACCAAGTGTTGCTTAAAAACACTGCAAAATTATAAGTTAAAGTTTTGAGTTTGTTTTTCTCTGGGACTTTGCATCATCCAAATTTAAAAAAACAACCCATTCTGTAGTGGAACAGAGGCGGTAGAGAACACAGGCCATAGATTACATAACTCCAAGAATGCTGCTCCTCAGGTCACGCCCCCAGTCAGTGATGTCACGGGGCTGTTTTGGCTTTTACATCTGATGGAAAATGTGTTGATGTCACTTGTGGGCTTGACCTGAAGAGCAGCATGCTGGAAACATTTCTGCCTCTGTTAACAGCTGCATACAATTCCGGCATCTCTCTGTGAGCGCATTTACTCTTTTTTCCCAAGTCAGATGCCAGATTTTGTAGCACTACCTGAAGCTTTTCTGTCTTTCTCTTAACCTTTATCTCACTGTGTTTGTGTTAGTGCAATCCTGTGTGTTTAATCCAAACAAAGGCAAATCTCCCCACCAACTGGGCGTAAATACCAGTTGGGCTACAGCAGAGAAGCACTTCTAAATCCAGCCAGCAGACAACAAGGGACCCTGTGCTACAGCACCACTCCCAGCTCAGTTCTGCTTGTTCACAACTGAAGGGGCTCGTAGTGTGCGTGTGTGGGAAAGAGGGAAATAGCGTGCGACAGAAGGAGAGTGTGGAAAGAGAGGACGAGTGACTGTGTGACATACAAAGAGAGCATGGAAAGAGCACAAGAGAGTGTGAAAATGATGAGGAGAGAGGAGTGTGCTCAAAATCCAAACTGAGTACATGAAAGAGCATGTTTAGACTCCCCGTCTGGAAGTCTGATTCCTAAAAAATGTCTCTGTCTCTGTGTTTAACAAGCAAAACTTTCCTATAATCAGTCTCGATGCACGACTCTAAAATACCGATTTACCGTAGGCTCTCAAAATGCAAATAGGTCAGATTATTCTTGGGAGAAAGAGCCCTTCAAATCTGAGAGACCTGGAGCAGTTGGCAAAAGAAAAGTGGTCCAGAATTCCAGTAGGGAGGTGGAAGAAACTCACAGATGGTTACAGGAAGCCACTGATTTCAGTATTTTAGTCGAAAGGCTGTGCTACCAGATATCAAGTTGAGAGTGTCAGTAATTCTGTTCAGTCCATTTTTGGAGTTCTGTGTGGACTGGATCAAATTTGGCCTTTCTCTCTCTTTTTTTGTGTGTGTAGTTCCAATACAAACAAAAGAAATGAACATGAGAATACCAGAGAATCTGTGATTGCAATGATTTTCTGGGAGAAGTGCATTATCTGAATGTTTGGGTCAGTTTTTTTTGGCCATGACACACACATATACATTGGACATCCTGAGCAGTCTCCTCACCAAAGATGAATAAGAATAATAAAGCCTCAGCCATATGCACTTTCCCATTGAACTGAATGGGAAAGCGTGTCCAGACCTGGTAGTGTTTGTCACTCACACATTATTTTGTATTTGAGCTTATGTGGTAAAATTTGGAGTGACATTTGGTGGTAAATGAAGATGGATACCACCTATCAGGCAGGAATTTCTGAATGTCTGCAACTTGTCCATTTGTTAATTTTCGCACTCTGCAGTCTTGTGAGAAATTTTGGCTCCCTGAAAACTGTTCCTAAAATAAATATCTGTAATCCCTGGCATGTCCCCCACTTCATCACAGATTTAGTGCCCTTTTTTGAAAGAATATTTTTGAAAGGGGTGCTGCTATCATGGCTCATGACAGGATAAGGCAGATTGCTGCACTAGAATTTTATACATTATTGTAAAAGCAAGTGCTTTCATCTGCCGCTATTTGTGTTTTTAATCAAGTGTTTGCTAATGTTTTGTGAAAGGTCTAATAACTTGTTGTCCATTTTCGCCCTACAAAGGTGACGTTCACCAAGCGAAAGTTCGGTCTGATGAAGAAGGCGTACGAGCTGAGTGTCCTGTGTGACTGCGAGATCGCCCTCATTATCTTCAACCACTCCAACAAGCTGTTCCAGTATGCCAGCACTGACATGGACAAGGTCCTGCTCAAGTACACCGAGTACAATGAGCCACATGAGAGCCGGACCAATGCCGACATCATTGAGGTAAAGCGTGGGAGGGGGCCACAGTGGGAGGTGTGTCTTCATACTCCCCAGGGTTGTATTTGCCTAAATGTACACAGTGACTTTGACCTGATCCAGACTTAAAAATCTGTTTGTTGTATTAGTTTCTTTGGTGCTGCATCCTACTGATACTTAGTTGTAAAACAACAGCTCCCCAGTGAGCTCATTAAGGTTTAATCTGAACTAATGTAATCCAGTTCTCTCCAGACTCATTCAGACTAATTCAGTCCAGTCTGTCAAAGCCAGTCCATTTCATTGCAGTCCGGTCTGTTCAGCTGAGTACTGATTCACGTGTCTTTGGTCCAGTATGATCTGAAACTAACCCTTAAATCTGGTCATGTCCTGGATGCTGGATGCTACAAGCTTATCCTTCACAGGCTTCTACCCTTATCTTTTAAAAGCAGCTGATTTGTGTACAGAAATGTTGAGGCTAATGTACAATCCATGTCACTCCCTTAAATCAAGTCTAGACCAGGTCACAATAGTCCAGTATATTTTAATCTATTCCAGTACATTCCAGTCCCGTCCAGTTCACTCTAGTCTGGTTCAGAGTTGTTGAGTCCAGTTTATCCCGGTGTTCTTTATGCTGTACCCTGGTTTAGTGTCTATATGGGAGGGCAGAGGTCTGGACCAGGGCTATCATAGTTTTCCTATCTGAATTTGTTTACATTTAGTTAGTTCCACCAGTGGTTTCATTAGTTTTAGTTTAGTGTATTTTATGGACTCATTTCTATTTAATTTTAGTTTTAGTAATTTTAGTTAAGGATCCAAGTTGCCAAGTATGAAAAGTAATGATCATGAGGTTATCAGCATTTCAAGACTAAACTGCACTAACATGTGCAATGCATCTGCTTCAGACTGGCAACGCCTGTTAATACACAAATGGCAACACCATGATTTGAAGGTTCTTTGAAAAATTCTTTGAAAGCTGGCATGTCACATGATGTGGTTGACTTACCAGCCTCGTTTTTGTAGCAGGCCGCCCACTACTCTGATCTTTTGAAGCAGGGTGCTAGGCTCTGCTGCTACGACAGTGGTGTGGTGGGTAGAGCAGTTATTTCCCAACTGGATGGTGGAGGGTTCGAATCTTGGTGTCTACAGTCCACATGTCAAAGTGTCCTTGGGCAAGACACTGAACCCCCCCGAAATTGCCTGTGATGGCGGCGCGTATGCACCGAAACAAAATTTTGTTGTACTTGTTACAATAAAAATTAAAGCTGCTTGTTGGACATATTGCTAATGTTAGCCTCAGTGCTAATGCTCTTTCTCTTCCCTTTAATTTCTACACCACAGATGCTGTTACCTGAAAAGAATGTGCATTTGTTTGTACTGTTTTTGTTAATGAATTTGAAACAATCCAAGGCTCCCACTTTTTCTTCCTGACATCTTGACCTCACTCCTTCACTTGATAAGATCTAGGTCCTGGCACTATAATGGCACCTAAAACTGCAGCTACACTGAATTTTGGCTCTTGAATGAAACACTGTTCAGAACGATAATGACATAAATTTTTTTGTCTTTTATTATTTAGTTTTAGTGTTTAATTGACTATTGTTAGTTTTAGTTAAATTATCAAAATACTTGAAAGCCCATAGTTTTTGTGTTAGATTTTGTTTTAGTATATGATAATAACCCTGGTATAGACGACCAGGCCTCACCCCTCCTCCCTGTCTTACCCCTCAGGCGCTGGCCCCATTGTTACACGGATAACTCTCCAACAGGAACAAGCCAAAGGATGACACCTGGAACCAATTGGAAACCACCCTGGTACAAAATGGCCACCAGTAATAGGGAGAGCCTGTTGAGCAGCTGAAGAACAATGTTTGTTAACTTGCATATTGGAGGAGAGGTCAGCGCTGAGGTTAGAGGAGAAGTTGTGAGGGCAATTATTCAGTTCTGTTTTTAACGCTGCTGTAATAGGAATGATACATTTGTTTTTTGATGTCTTTCCTCCCCGTGGGAAAAGTTTCAAACACATTTTAATGTCTTGTTCACCCTTTTATACATAATGGCCTTCTCATGAGTTTAACACGAGAGGGTTAGTGAGCCATGTACGCTGCAGTGCAGGTTTTATGTGGAATGAAGCTGGATCGGGCTCAGGTCTGAATAAATTCCTCACTTGTTTTTGCTGTGGGAGTTTATGACCCATCCACCACAAACACTGCTCACATGAAGTCACCATCACATTTTTACTGTCATGTTGAAAACTCAAGTTAATGTTATGTTACAACAAAAACACACTTAGCATTTAGCCCAATAAAGTCAGCACTGGCAAGTTAAAACTGAAAGCCAAGCAACAATCCTCTGTAGTTTAGATTTTTTTCTAGTCTAAAATTCCCTTCAGATTGACTGAAAAAGAAAACCTCATTTTTTTCCGCACCAGAATGTTCAAAGTAAAATTAAATGTTTGCAGTAACTTAAAAAAAAATTAAACACAGGAAAACTAATAATTGTACAGGCAGAAAAATGCCAGGACTGGTTTTATTTTATCAGCTGTTCCTTCATAATCACCTTCTGAATAAGTGAGAATATTCCAATATAAATAAATATCATCTTGAACCCTTTGCTCTCGGCCAGTTTCTGATCCACAGCTCCCAAGAACAAAGTGACACCTGCCTGTGTCCCTGCAGTGGTGAGCTTCAAATGATGAGTTTTATTTCCCCCTTTCAGGCTGTTTTATTATTACTGGCTGAAGCTCAAAGGCTTCAAATATAGTTTGATTCATCCCATTAACCCTTGGAAGGTTCCTCTGACCTCTACCTGCTGCTGTTTTCAAGTTGTCCTAAGATATCAGCAGATATCTACTGCAAATGAAAGGCTAACTAATGTGCTGTAAGCTACATGTACAGCTGATTGTTTTCATGGAACCCAGGAACGTTTTGACCGGTAGGAGCCAGGGTCTAAAATTTGGGCATAGCCCTGAAATGGTTCCAGCTCTGAGTTAGCACTATATTGGCATGAATCCAGCCCCTGATTATATACAACCTCGCCAACATTTTTCCAAAATTTGAATAAAGACTTTTTGCAGAGAAAAGCACTTTAGGACTAGCCCTGTTTGGAAATGTTCCTGAGATGCTAATTAATTCCTCAAGCCATTTCCTTTTAAAAAGTGAAACGTGAACTGAAACATTATTTAATACGACAAGCCATCAAGCTCAGTGTGCGTGCAACGTAAGCATGTATTAACGCACACAGTGTTAACACATACAATAATTGCGTGTTAATACGTTCTAGACACGTTAACACGTTACAACACTCTCTCTCCCCCTTGTGCTCTCTCTCTCTCGCTCTCGTTCCCTCCTAGGTCATATTGCTACCTAGCTCTGCGTAGCGTAGTACAGAATCCATGTGACCATAATGTATGCATTTGTCAGACCCTGCATTTAAGGAAGCAGCGGTGATGTAGGCAGAAGTAACCATGATGTAGGCATACACAGGACCATACGTCAAAAGGAATTGACCCCTGTATTTCAGAATCAGAATTAGCCAATTTTCAGCCAATGGCACTGAAGCTCCACTGGATGTGTTAACACACATGCATGTTAACACTCGTGCATTAACAGGCACGCCTGCTGAAGTTGATGGCTTACCATAAGTTAAAGCAGAATGTATGTTCCTCATTTGAATAATCCATTTGAAACTCTGATGTTAAAACTGCACTTTAAACTGCGACCAAATGTAAAAGACACAACCTGCTGTCTTAGGCCCACGACACACCAAGCTGACGGTTGGCTGTCGGTGAGCATCTGTTCCCCTTGTCTCCCCAGTGTGTCCTGCACCATTTGTTCTAGGCGGACTCTTGTCGGTGGCTCTTCAGCTGATTTGGTATTTTGAATTGGCGGTGTACACTGTCAGTGAGAGAGAGACCATTCTGATTGGCTGTTCAGCTTAGTGAATTAATTCACAAGAAGATAAAAGTTTGGGAAAGCTCCTTCAGCCTGTCGCTGTACTGCTCATATTTTCACCCATTTAGTGCAGTTTCTTCTTGTTTTTCGCCTCCACGACCTCCTTCCTTCTTCCACAACCAGAAGACCAAGGGCAGAGAACGGCAGCGCTATTTGCAACTTCTCATCAGACATATTCATCAGACACATAAAGGGTGACTTTGTCTTCTGTGAATATTGCGTCTCTCTCAGTCCTTTTTGAGATATTTGACTTGTTTTCACAGTTGGTGCTGGAAACACAAACACGGATATGTACAAGTGTCTGTTCAGTTCTGGGAATTAGTTGTTACATCTTTGAAAGGGGCCATGAAGTCGAGGCCAAAGCAGAAGGTGAGAGTCCCACCAGTCGGGGCTTAGCTCTAGAAAGTGCTGAAATCTGAGTGAAAGTGTTGGTGAAGCAGATTTGGATTTGTGTGGGCTGCAGGTAAGACTGGGGTTTGGTGCCATAGTTTTCTCCTTCATCTCTCAAGTCACTCTGCCTGTCACTTCTTCTCTTTCCTTCCTGATTCCCTCGATCACGACAGTTTTTCCCTTCTTTCCTCTCCTGCTCTTTCTGTGCGTCTCTGAGTGTCAGCAGTAAAGCAGTTCTGTAGGCTGTATCTCCAGCTGCAGATGGCTCTAAAGTGTGTATGTGTGTGTGTTGTGGCGGGGCCTTGGACTGCTCCGGGCCACATCAGCTCAAGCTCCACTGGCTCTGTGTGTGTACATGTGTTTGTGCTTCCAAGTGTGTCACTCTGTCTCTTTATGTGTGTGTGTACATGCCCACATGTGCGTGAGTCCACCTCTCTCTCTGTACACACGCTTTGCAGTGGCCCATGAGAGTATTCAGGCCTGTGAGCCTCTTGATTGTGTGTTGGTCTCTGTGTGTGTGTCCTGCATAAGAGCTTACAGTACCTCTTCCACCGGCCCCTGTACTGCCCTCCTAACCCCCCCTATCTCATCCGTCTTCTCTGTAGGTCGGAGGCATTTAGCAACTTTCTCCAGTACTTGTCCTCGGTTGTCCCCTTTGTGAGGTGTGCAGCAGCACACACCTCCTTG